AGGAGGCAAGGCTTGGTCATTAGAGCAAGGATAAGGGACTGGGAAAACAATGAAACTATGACAAAATATTTTTTCCAGAGGGTTAAGGCAAACCGTAGGTACAATAGGATTCTCGGGCTAAGAGACTCTACAGGAACAATACAAACGACATAGGAACCCATGCTAAAGGTAGCAACAGATTTCTATCAAGATCTGTACACATCCAAAACCGGCCAAGGGGAAAACGGTAACATCCAGAGAGCTAGAGAAAAATTCCTGAAACATTTGGATAAAAGCCTCAAGCAAGAGGCAATAGACTACCTAGACAAAGAAATAACCAAAACGGAACTCTATGAAGCCCTCAGGAGCATGCAGCCGAACAAAACCCCCGGACTGGATGGTTTGCCAAAGGAGTTTTGGCAGGCCAATTGGCACATTATGGGCGAGAAGGTTGCAGCCTTCTTCCAAAAGGCTTTTGAGATAGGATCCCTTGGAGAAGAAGTCAGTACTGGGGTTGTAACTCTGCTTTATAAGAAAGGAGAAAGAGAGGACATAAGGAACTACAGGTCGATAACCCTCCTACCAGTAATTTACAAAATACTGGCAAAAACACTGGCCAATAGAATACGCAACGTTACGGACAAATGCTTTCACTTAGATCAAACAGGTTTCATCCTGGGAAGATACATCCTAGATAACGTGGTCTGCCTGAACGAAGCCACCAAAATAATTAAGGACAAAAAAGTGCAAGCGGCCATCTTATTCTTCGACTTCGAAAAAGCCTATGACCAGGTCAATTGGGACTTCCTACAACTAAGTATGGAAAAAATGGGAGTTAGGCCGAACTTCAGGAAATGGATAAGGGTGCTTTATGGGGATGCAAGAGGGATGGTTCAGGTCAATGGGCACTTGTCAAAAAAATACAGAATGACGAGATCTGTCAGGCAAGGAGACTCGCTGGCAGCTCCAGTTTTCCTGTTCGTGATGGAAGCAATTGCAGCGTTCTTACGAAAAGACCCCTCAATAGAAAGACTTTCAGCCAACCATGAGGGAAGACGGATAAACATCCCCACGGTAATGTTTTTTGTCGACGATTTAACTGTTCTGATCAGGGCATCTGACTCTTCCTTTCTCGCGCTTACTAAAGCAATGCAGGCTTTCCAACTAGCCTCAGAAATGAAGATAAACTAGAACAAAACAGTGGGTTGGTGGCTTTCCCCATCAGACCCTCCGCAGCAAACCGAAGAAACCCGGGGTCTACAATGGCTGGACGCCCAGAGTCCGGTACGCTTTTTGGGCATCCAAGTTTCGGAGAGGGGTGTTAACGAAGCCTCAGGCACCAGCCTTCTGGTCAAGATGTCCAACAAAATGATGGGATGGCAAACAGCTCACGTGTCTCTCATGGGAAAAGCTTTAGTGCTCAACGCCTCAATTTTATCAATGGGATGGTACACAACATCTCTATGGAACCCATCTCCAGCCTTCTTTACCAACCTCAAAAGGAAGATCGGAGCGTATCTATGGACAGGCAAAGCGGATAAGGACAAGTACATCACCGAAGTAGCATGGAAATACGTAACAAGGCCAAAAGCCCAAGGGGGCGTAGGCCTATTGAACCCAGCATCCCAATTCCAAGCACTGCAAATAAAGTGGATAATCAAAGTTATTTTCAATAGGGAGCTCCCATGGCACAACATGGCATTGCACCAGATCCGCAACCTGGTTCCTTTCAAAGTGGACCCCAACATAGAAGGATACCATTGGCTACTCAACCCAGCATGGACCCCTGCAAGAAAGGAAGGAAAAAAACAGTTGGCGGATAAAGACCCGCCCAGCGAGCACTGGGCCACCCTGATCAAACACTGGGGAGGCGTTTTCCCGCAAAAAATTAGATCTCCACAAATCAGAGAAGAGGTGTTGAGAGACAACCTCTTTTTGGTAATCGTCTATTGAGAGACCAAAATAACAATGTTTGGCCATTGAACTCTAAGGGCAGGCAGTGGAGAAAATGGGTGGGTAAAGGAGTATGGAAAGTAGAACATCTGTGGAATGTAGAAGAGAACAGATGSTTCACTGCACAAGAGTTGAGAACCAAACTTAAGGGAATACACAACCTGAGAAACCAACTAGAGAGTTTGCTCGACAGCATCCCGCTGAAATGGGAGCTATTGCTGAAATCCGGAACCAAATGGTGCACAGGAGARTGGGCCACAAGGAGAGGTACAAGTATACCGCATGAGGGATACAAGCTGACCAAAATGCTGRAAGTAGGGGAAGGGAAGGCAGAGTTCGAATCTTGGGAACTAACAGATACCCACAAAACCTSGGCAAAACCAGGGAAAATATTAGAGCAAAGGTTAATAATGGATCTCACGAACCTAAAAAAAGTTAGAGCTTGTACGCCCAAAAACTATCATAAAGGAAACCCACAGCCTGAACAGGAGCAGAGGAAGGTATGGATCTATAGACCAGAACTAGGTATTGAAGAACTGGAAGTTGACCCAGCTGAATGGGATGGTATGTCCCGGACAGAAGGGGAAGGGTCAAAAAACTTACCCCTCTGTGCAATTATGAGGTAAGTGCGGGATACAGGGTATTGAATACCACCAAGGACCCTTCACCAGTAATCAATGATAGATGGAAGAAAAACGCAGTAGAAAACGCAGGCGGGACAGGTAGAATACCCTGGTCCACGTTTGCCACTATAAGGCCGGCAAGAATCAGTAGCCTGCAATGGCTCATAATTTATTGGGCGGTGCCAGTCAACCAATGGCTCAATAAAAGAAGACGACAGGGGGAGATCCAACCTCAAGCAGCATGGTGTAGAGTGTGCAATGAAGGTAGCGAAGAATCCCTGATACATTGTTTCTTACTCTGTCAACGAGCCCTGGAACTATGGGCCAGAACCAAAAAGGGATGGAATAAGGTGACAAGCCGTACATTCCCTTCAGGAACAAATTATCTACTGGCGGGAAGAACTGAGGACACTGACCTGGAAGAAGAGGAAATCCCATTGGCCGAGCTGTGGAGGAGATCGACCCTTTGGGTAATATGGAAAGCAAGATGCAAAGGCACTCTGGACAACCAATTCCCAAGCATGGAGGAAAGATGGGCAGAAATAAAGTCCACGATACAAACAGAAATCAGAGCACGATGGGCGAAAGAACAAAAAGAACAACAGAGGCTAACACATTCAGAAAAACGTGAATCAAGACAGAAGAGGTTCGAGGAAATCTGGTTCTATGAGAACAGAATGGTAAAGATAGAGAAAGGAAACCTAGAGTTCTAGAGCTGGGATTGACAAGTTAAGGGGGTTCACGCACATTCACCAAGCACATCTTCTCGCCTCCTCTCCCTGAACAACCCTCTCAACTGCTCCTCCTGACTAACACCCCCGATCAGACTCGGAAGGCGGAAAGGATCTGGTCTGCGAGATTGACCCGAAGATGAACAACAACGGAAGAAGGACAAGCGAAGATTGGGATGAGTTGGTCGCTCAATGGCAAGACTACGGAAATTCCAGGAAGATCGGGTGTGCCGGAAAGACTGATGCAACTCAAATCCCGAAAAGGGGCTCTCCCCAACTCCCAACGCTGGAGGAGGCAACCTTGACTTTAATTGTTGACACAGGGGGGAAAAGGTAAACTCTCCAGGCAGCGCAGGCAACAGGGTAATTCGAAGCATCGAAAGCTAAGTGAGCCGGCAGAGGAAGAAGACCTGGAGAAACTCGGCGCAGAACCTTGTAGAGAGGGTTTAGGGTTTTAGGGCTTCAAGGGATTTTTCTTAAACCCAGTAATAAAAAGAGAGGTCCCGAGTGGGCCCTTTTCTCAAGGCCAGGGTCACAGGAATGGGGAGAAATGGCTAGCTTGGCTGGCCCCTAAACTCAAAGGGCCGATGGCCGAAGGTCAGGACTGCAGGCGGAAGGCAGAGGTCAAAACCACTCTACGGTTATCATAAGGGGGCAGGAAGGAGGGGAGGGAAGAACTTAGCATGAGAAGGTCAGTAGAAATGCTCACACCACGTGTAAGATTGATATACGGCGGACCTCGGTTAAGGATCCAAGAGGCGAGAGGGGGACAGGGCAAACGGACAGTTATTACCCACGCTTGCAGGGAGCAATTGGCACTCGCCAAGAGCCCTACGGCCAGAGGGAGCAGGAGAGCAGACCGGGAGTTCAGAGCTTAGGGTCGAACGCAGTTAAGATGAGGGGGCAGGAAGAAGGAAAAGGAGCGGACCAGGCAGGTAAGCAGGCATCTCTCTAGGAATAATGATGTCATCTGGCAGATCGGGACAACAGGTTTGAGAGGAGAGAGAGGAATAAGGCAAACTGATAGTCAATCCTCCTCTGCGATGGAGCAATCAATACTGTGCAGGGGTCCTTTGGCCGAACGGGAAACACACAGATTAGGCAGGGGTGAGAGGTGGTACATCCTTCCTCAGGGAAGTAATCAATGCCGCCTACTCGGTCCTCTCAGCCATAATGGGGAGGAGTGTGCGTGAGTCTTTTATGTATTCCATTTGACTTGCCGGGGGAATAGGAACCGGACTGTCGCTCCCCAGAATGGCAGGAGCCAGAACCCTGAGGTTCTGAATTAAAAAAAAAAAAAAAAAAAAAAAAGGGCGGGCACCTCCGCCTTCACTTAGGGCGGGTAATGCTGCAAGCAGGGCTCCATAAGCCTACCGAGGACCCTGATCCTCGCACCTCATATAGGAATGCTTTATTCTAACGTGAAGCCTTACAGCTGAGGGTTGGATACACACACACACACACACACACACACACACACACACACACACACACACACACACACACACACACAGAGGGATCCACATGAACCTTCAAAGGAGGGTAGGTGGGTTTGATTCCCGCTATCCGCAGTTCGTTTTTATGTGATGAGAAAAAGAAATTGAAAATGTGGGTATCAAAAATTAAAATCTTGTCGACAAATCTTGGAAAATGTTTGGCAAACGAAAAAAACACTTGCAACTGAAGCATCTTGGCAAGAAGCACCAAGGCTCACCTCAAAATCTCTCTCAAACGAGCACGAGCAGACTGTGACTTTCCTATGTACTTCCTTCTGCTCACCCCAGAAAGCCTCTCATTCTTCTCCCTGAAATTGCACAGGCATAATACAATTTACGCACTTTGCATTGTGGTTAGCTCAAAATGCAGCTGTATAGAGTCTATAGAGTCCCAAAGGCCAAACGGCCCAAACAAATGCAATTCCCGCCCCCCCCTCTTTTTTTTGATTAAACGGGCCCGTATGGTCCTGGCTTCTTTGAAGTTCTTTCTATTTTGGGGAGCTTCTGTCCAGATCCTTTTACCCCGGCAAGTCATAGATATAAAAAAACAAACAGCATACACAGATGCTTCCGGAAATTTAGGAGGCCGGACGCAGTAGACAGAATGAATCGGCGGCGAACAGCCTCTGAAAGGGGCCTGCAGCCGATAGCTGGCATGCACTGGTGCTCTAAACCACCAGTACCTCCGAGCCTGTTTTTGCCGACCCTGATTTTCACTGCGCACCAAGTTTTGCCGAGCCTGGTTTTCCCCCGGCAAGCCATAGATATAGAAAAAAACAAACCGCATACACAGATGCTTCCTTCCACTGCAGACAAACGTAACCCCTGAACAGCATTGGTGGCTCCTTAAACCACCCGTACATGGCCCCAGGCAACTGGAGAACCTGTTTTGAGCCTCTCCGAAAATTTAGGAGGCCGGGTGTCGTAGATAAAATCGATCGGCGGCAGGCAGCCCCTGAAAGGGTCCCGCGGCCGATAGCTGGCATGCGCTGGTGCTTTAAGAAAAGGAGAATTTTTTTTATTTTTTATTTATTTTTAACAAACAGGGCCTTATGGTCCTGGCTCCATATCCATTCTGGGGAGCGTCATTCCGGTTCCTTTCCCCCGGCAAGTCATAAAATACAATAATTCACACACAACGCTTCCTTCCGTCTGGCCGAAGGACCCCGGAACAGCATTGATTGCTCCGACCACATGGAGGATTGACTGTCAGCTTGCCATCCTTCTAGGAATCCTCTCAGCTATTGCTACCCTTTGCTGTCGTATTAAATCTGTCAAAAACAAGATTCCTCAACGACTGACTGGAGGATACTACCATTCCTTCGCATGTTGTCGACCCCTAAACTCTTTTGCGATCTGTACCATGTGAAGCATAAGCTGCCGCCTGTTGCACGTGTGTCTTGGTCGCTCTTCTAGGCCCAGATTGGAGTTAGTTCCTCATGTACCTGGGTATTCTGCTGATAAAACAGACTTGACAGAAGTATGCCACTCTTTCCATCTTAATACCTGCCCATTTGGCCACGCCACTTTGTCACCAACCAGACCCGTTTGAATTTTGTTTTCAAGTTTTCCTTTTCTCAGGAATATGTGCAGTGGCTCTAAGGGCCGTTACTCACCACATACACAAAAGACAAAACGTATGGTGGTGTATTATTCCACGTTCTGCGGTAGATTCTTTCTAATTTTGCAAATT